GTACTGTGTGGGGGGTGTTACTGGTGCTCTCAATCTGACACTTGTTACTGGTCTCGTACAGCTACTGCTTGGCCTCCTCAACCTAGTAATATATAGTCAATGATTCATTATTTATAGGAAAAGCGTCGTCTGTGTGGAGGTGTGTTTCAGTGTGCTCTCACTCTGAACACTGTTCACTTGTTCGTCCAGCTACTTCTTGGCCTCCCTCCCTCCATCCTTCCCCCCCGCCACCAACCTTAGCCTCCACATTCTCAACCCCTGCACCCCCCATATAAATACGAATTGCCCCGCCCGGCCAGCGGCCCCCACAACCCGCATAAGCCAACCCCCAACGCAAGCCACAAGAGCCTCCCGCCCCCCTCACCCCCATACCCCCAAAGGACCGACCCCCGGCCCACCAATCGAAACACGGCCATGCTCCGGAGTGCCCCACGCCCACCCATCCTAACCACCCCACCCCCCCTGACCAAGGACCACCCCCCTAAAACCCACCCAAACATACTTCCCCCCAGCCCACGCGCACCAAAGAATATAACCGGAGGAGCGAGACACAAACCGCCTCCAAACCCGCCACGCTGGTACCCTCACCAGTCCCCCCAAACGCAACAGAAGTCCCCACGACCAGCCCGGCCCCTCACACCCGGCCGAGACCCCATACGCCAAGAAACTCAACCTCGCATACCAGGGCACCCAGGTAACGCCCGCTCGCACCAACGCACTCCCGAGACAATAGTACCGTAAACAGCGATACCGCCCGTCGCAGTCAGCAGCTACAGACAACCAGCACCCACCACCGCTCCCACCGCCCCAAAACAAAACGCGGGTCTCCAACTGTCAATGTCCAGGTCCCCCATAACCGCAAATCAATAACAACGCCCCCGCCCCGCCCATCCACACACACAGGCGGACGACCCACAACCAGACGGAACCCCCAAGCGAGAAGAACCACCTAGTAAACTAAGGCGATTAGGCAAATGACAGAATAGTCTACCGCGCGCCCAACCCACGCACCCACCCCGGAGGCCCGGGAGAACAACCCCAACTAACGGAAACCTACGTCTACGCATATCACCAGCAGGTATTACCGTCCACTCCCAGCACACCGCCACCAATGACGTCAGGGCCAAGCCCCCCTCCCCTCAACCCACCAACCTAGGTATATACAGCCCATATGCATTATTTTAGAGAACAAGACGGCGTACTGTGTGGAGTGTGTTCGTGTTGCTCTCACTCTGACACTGTTCACTGGTCTCGTCCAGCTACTGCTTGGCCTCCTCAACCTAGGTTATATAGTCATAATGCATTACTTAGAGGAACAAGACGGCGTACTGTGGAGTGTGTCCTTGTGCTCTCACTCTAGACACTGTTCACTGGTCTCGTCCAGCTACTGCTTGGCCTCCTCAACCTAGGTATATATAGTCATCAAATAAAGCATTATTTAGAGGGAACAAGACGGCGTACTGTGTGGAGTGTGTTCCGTGTGCTCTCACCTAACCACTCAGGTGCTACTAGTACTCAGGCACAGAGAACAAAAACGAGTACGTTGGAGACACCACTCTGACACTGTTCACATAGTCTCGTCCACTACTGCTGGCCTCCTCAAACCTAGGTATATATAGTCATAATGCATTATTTAGAGGAACAAGACGGCGTACTTGTGTGGAGTGTGTTCCGTGTGCTCTCACTCTGACACTGTTCACTGGTCTCGTCCAGCTACTGCTTGGCCTCCTCAACCTAGGTATATACAGTCATAATGCATTATTTAGAGGAACAAGACGGCGTACTGTGTGGAGTGTGTTCCTTGTGCTCTCACTCTGACACTGTTCACTGGGTCTCGTCCAGCTACTGCTTGGCCTCCTCACCTAGGTATATACAGTCATAATGCATTATTTAGAGGAACAAGACGGCGTACTGTGTGGAGTGTGTTCCGTGTGCTCTCACTCTGACACTGTTCACTGGTCTCGTCCAGCTACTGCTTGGCCTCCTCAACCTAGGTATATATAGTCATAATGCATTATTTAGAGGAACAAGACGGCGTACTGTGTGGAGTGTGTTCCTTGTGCTCTCACTCTGACACTGTTCACTGGTCTCGTCCAGCTACTGCTTGGCCTCCTCAACCTAGGTATATATAGTCATAATGCATTATTTAGAGGAACAAGACGGCGTACTGTGTGGAGTGTGTTCCTTGTGCTCTCACTCTGACACTGTTCACTGGTCTCGTCCAGCTACTGCTTGGCCTCCTCAACCTAGGTATAGTCATAATGCATTATTTAGAGGAACAAGACGGCGTACTGTGTGGAGTGTGTTCCTTGTGCTCTCACTCTGACACTGTTCACTGGTCTCGTCCAGCTACTGCTTGGCCTCCTCAACCTAGGTATATACAGTCATAATGCATTATTTAGAGGAACAAGACGGCATACTGTGTGGAGTGTGTTCCGTGTGCTCTCACTCTGACACTGTTCACTGGTCTCGTCCAGCTACTGCTTGGCCTCCTCAACCTAGGTATATACAGTCATAATGCATTATTTAGAGGAACAAGACGGCAGTACTGTGTGGAGTGTGTTCCGTGTGCTCTCACTCTGACACTGTTCACTGGTCTCGTCCAGCTACTGCTTGGCCTCCTCAACCTAGGTATATATAGTCATAATGCATTATTTAGAGGAACAAGACGGCGTACTGTGTGGAGTGTGTTCCGTGTGCTCTCACTCTGACACTGTTCACTGGTCTCGTCCAGCTACTGCTTGGCCTCCTCAACCTAGGTATATACAGTCATAATGCATTATTTAGAGGAACAAGACGGCATACTGTGTGGAGTGTGTTCCGTGTGCTCTCACTCTAACACTGTTCACTGGTCTCGTCCAGCTACTGCTTGGCCTCCTCAACCTAGGTATAGTCACAAGAGGAGGGCTAAACTTTAGCAAACTATTAGGAAAATGTAATATATTTCGCAAGTTAGTTTTAATGCGGGGGGAGAATATGAGTGAGAGTTCTTTCTTGTAAACTGTAATTTCTGCCAAATGCAAAAAAAATGATTTCCTTACATCTCCTGATCTCCCTCGATATTTTTCCTAGCTTTATTTAGAGGTGTTATGCAGTTGTTCCTGCAGTAGTTCCTAGGGGGAAACACTGCCTCTAGTTTTTGCAGCTTTAAAGAACAGTATACCAAACCAACTCATCCGGGTGCTGTTTGGTAACAAACCGCTGACACCACTGATGGGTGGCATGCATACATGTATATATACCATTTTGTTTAGCGTTTTTGAACCCTAATATGTACAGTGGACCGCTTGGTTGATTCCTATCACTCCACTGAAATGAGACACCACTGTAATGAAAGGCCACTGTAAGATGTACATATAATGGTTATGTCAAGCTCTGACTTTCCGCGAGTTTTGTTCCACTGGAAACTGATGACGTGTGTTGTTGTCTGTACAAACAGGTTTCCTGGTGGACTTTATTCCTCTGCCAATCATCAGTGGATTCACCTCTGCGGGTTAGCCTCCTACATAATGGCTCTGACAATACTTCTGTGTTTGACTGGAGTGACCACATCCTATAGCTAACGAAAAGCAGTTTTAGTTTTCTAGCTTAGCTATACAATGGATTCACCTAGTCACACTATACAGCATAATAATTATGGCTCTGACAATACTACTGTTCGACTGGAGTGTCTGAAAGTGGGGGAGTTATCTCTATCATTGAATCTGCCTAGCGGCACTGGTCCCTTTTGGTTTGTGTCACCTTTTTTTCTCTCCATGTAGCTGCCATCACTATTGCTGTTGGACAAATACATGTAAGTTGTGCATATCTTTCTGCTATTACTACTTTTCTCTCTCCGTCCCTCCCTCCTTACATCTCCTCACTTCCTCTGTTCTCCAAATACAAATACAATACATGTAAGTTGTGCATATCTTTCTGCTATTACTACTTTTCTCTCTCCGTCCCTCCCTCCTTACATCTCCTCACTTCCTCTTTCCCTCCTCCATCTATACCTACAATGTTGTTTGATTCTCCCTCACCAAACCTTCCCTCCTCCCTCACCCTCCTTCCTCCCCCCTCTACTCTTCTGCCATATTGTGCTCTCCTCCCTCCCATCCTCTCTCCCTCCCACCCTCTCTCCCTCCCACCCTCTCTCCCTCCCACGGACCAGTCGTTTGTAGGGATAAGTCACAATGTCAGGAGAGTCTTCTTTCTAACTATCTACGACCTCTGTCACTACGTCACTGAAGTCAAGTGAGTCTGACACCTCTCTGGGTCGAAGAGGTGCCCCTATAATTATACTGGCCTCCTGTCACCACATCACTTTCATATTATAGTCTGATATGGGTCGAAGAGGTGCCCCTATAATTAGACTGTTCTCCTGTCACCACATCACTTTCATATTATAGTGTGATACGGGTCGAAGAGGTGCCCCTATAATTATACTGTTCTCCTGTCACAATTTTTTCTTCAGCATAGACATGAAATCTTTTTCATTTCTTAATAGGCCAGGAGATATTGTGTTTGGCATGATCTGCATTGCACTGGTTGTGTTCCTAAAGGTATGTATACCCTAGTGCTCTCAATAATAATTGTGTGTTGCGTCTGCCATAAGTAACTTGTGTACTGATCTGCCACATATATGTATATCTATATATATATATATATATCTATATATCTATATCTATATATATATATATATCTATATATCTATATCTATATATATATATATATATCTATATATATTATTATATAGACATGTAAGATGTGTGTATGTTGTGGTGCAGTACTTCAAGGTCCATATTGAGCATCTGAGAAAGACACAAGACCAGACATCGGCTGGGAGAGTGGCACTCAAGTTTCTGTGGCTCGTGTGTACAGGTTAGAGTGTTTGCCACCCACTGACACTTTGACTGCACGAAAAGTGAAAAAGATAGTATATGTAGCCAGGGTTTATTGTGGGGAGAATGGAGATGGACATTGCCCCTATCTTCTTCCTCTCTTAAACACTCCAGTAAATTATGCTGTCAGAACTGTAACTGCCTGTTTTATTTGGTTAACTTTCTCTTCCAAGTACATAATATGTAGTAAGCAAAACAGTGATGTAAATTTCCATAGCCTACATCGAAATTTTTTTTATTGTGCACCCATGCACCAGGACTCACGGCATAACATCTTTTCCTGCGTTAAATATGAATTTGTGTTATCGGATTTTGGGAACATGAACTTTTGCCTGGAGAGAAAGGTGCTCTCATATGGTGTGCCCCCCCCCCCTCTCTCCTATCCAGCTCGCAATGCGGTGGTGGTAATGACAGGGGCACTGGTGGGGTACACCCTCACCACTCAGGCCTGGTTCAGCGGCCAGCTGACCCTCATATCCACAGAGAGATTCCCTCTTCCTCACCCCCAACCTCCCAACGTCACCCTGCACAGTGTTAAGGTATGTAGGACACACGAGTGCCTTTCAGTACTATATTTCACTACTGGAGAACTAATGTACGTTTGCAGAGTATACTCAGGTCATAATGATGATGGTTTAAATTTCCGCGTGCGACTTTAACAGTGAGCATTGTCTGTACATTTTACGTACCACGTGTATCTATAACACTGTAAAACAAGTAAAACAACTCATCGCAGCTATACTACGGTCTTTGGGAGATCGTCAATACATAATCTCAACGACATGTACATATTGTGAGCCAATATATGTAGTTTAAGATTCCTTGCCGAAAAAAATGTTGCAGTTTATTCTGGCCCTCTTTTGTAAGCAAAACAGTGAAATAAATTTACATAGCCCACGTATAATTTTGTTACCCCGTGTAGATGGGTATGTGTACTTTGAGATGTGATTTTTGTGTCAGTACAGGAGATTGGCATTGGAATTGTTGTGGCCCCTTTCATTAGCTTCCTGGAGAGTATCGCCATTGCCAAGGCTTTTGGTAAGGAATGTGACCGACAGAGATATTTATAATTCCTGTCTCTCCCTCTCACTCCCTCCTCCCTCCCTCTTCCTTGCCTCTCCCTCCTTACCTCTCACTCCCTCCTCCCTCTCTCTTCCTTGCCTCTCCCTCCTTACCTCTCACTCCCTCCTCCCTCCCTCTTCCTTGCCTCTCCCTCCTTACCTCTCACTCCCTCCTCCCTCTCTCTCTTGCCTCTTTCTCCCCTTCTTCCTTCATCCCTCTCTCCCTCCTCCTCCTCAGCTCGGAAAGATGGCTATAAGGTGGAACCTAGTCAGGAACTAGTGGCTATTGGTACGTTGATATGTACACGTCTAATCCGCAACGAAGCTACATACTTTACACACAACCAAAATCTCTCTCCATGCACGATATACTAGGCAAATCTAAGACAATATTAATTCATGATGCCCCAGGGGATTTGAATTACCGAACTAGAGAATTCCTGAGGGTGGCACCTTGCACTATTCATTGTATTGATTTGTTTTCGTGATGGCCAGTTTGTGCTCACTGACAGTACAAAGTACTGGTCATGTAGGTACGTTATGTACATCACAAACTCAAAGTACGCTATATAATACTACATATGCAAAGTGCTCCTTAAGAGAGTATCATTAAACACACATGTGTAACATGGTCAGGTGTATATACTACCTCAGACTACTGCACAATTATTTATAACTATATGTCTACACGTACCTATAATTATTATGCTCTAGCGAATGTTTGTGACCTAACATTAGATATGGTGACGAGCTCTGCTGCATGTCCTTTGAACAGCGTTATACACAGTTGCATAATGTGGCGCCAGAATGCCTCGTATACAAAGAATACCGTAATTTAGGCACCCACACCTTTGCTTGCTGCCACTACCTTGCCAACAATATGTATGAATGTATTGATACTGAGGTGTGTGTATGGATCTATGTTTATTGTATATAGTCTCGAGTGGTGACACGTGTGGCCTACTAAATGCCGTCCCTCGATACCCGATACTTTTAGATATTAGGACAACTATGGGTGTATAGGCAAATTTGTGGCAATGCCTTGCCAAAGGTACCATTACAAACCAGAGTGTAACCAAGTACCGTAACCCTCGCCGCGCATGTGGGCCGAGGGTTAATTTATTACTTTTAGTGCCACATGTGTGGCCGGGCTAGTACTATAAGACAGCTACCTGGTCAGTTCCATGTAAGAAGGAAAAACATTGAAAGAAGCCCCAATATCTTTACATTGTAGCCAATTGCATGCAGCTTCAGTTGGCATCTAGTACATACCTTCACTTTCCCAACACGACAAGATGTATAGTGTTGATTTCCACCCACTTTTCTGCCTCCTGCCCACTTGGAAGTTTCCCTCTCAGGAGTGTGCTTGGCTCTGCATAACAAACAAATGGGTACTCCCTTCTCAACGAGCCATTAATTATATTCTAAGTGTCCCACTGCTTCGTCTCTCAACTACCATTAGTCTCTCTGTGGATGCTAATGGCTGGTGATTATTGGGCACTTTTACGTAATGCTCAGCCGATGTTTACAAGCTTGCAATAATATGCTGAATCACTAATCTATAATACTTATCACATACACTGTGCATTTTACTGTCTACTCGAGCCAGTCCTTGTCTGTAGTTGAGTTCATTAGGCACGAGGAAAAATAGCTCAGCTGTCCAGTGAGTTATCAATTGAGTTAGTAACTGGTCTGGAGGTGTATTGTGATGATGATGAGGCAGGAGAACTGTGCTGCACTTGTATGAACACTGATACTGGTGGGTGGGAGCTACCTTACCCGGTTGTCTGAACGGCGTGCATTTAAAAGAATATATGACCATAGGTTGCCCAACGGCACATGCGTACGGATTGGTAGTGTAGTCTGAAGATGAGTCAGGTGCTGTGCATAAAGGTTTTAATCCACTCCCCTTCGTCTGCATGTGCCTACCACTACAAACAGAACGTGTGCATAACATTAGGTTTGAGTGTGTTTTAATTAAAACCCTGACATTGTTTATCTCCCCCTTGTTGTTTGCAGGTTTTGCCAATGTGGTGAGCTCCTTTTTCAGCTCATATCCAGTCACTGGCAGCTTTTCCAGGTACTGAACAACAAATTAGGGCACCCAGGAAATCTTTAGTTGAAGGAGGTAGAACCTGGAATCTACCACTGGAACAATAACTGGGAAACCAGGCATTTCCTTCCACTTTTGTTCAGTTGTCAAGTCCACTCAGCATTCCTCTCTTGTAGCTCTGCCCTCCTTCAGATTGTGACTAGCGCTGTGAAATGTCAACTAAGATGTCCAGATAGGATTATCTCTGGTGTCTCTGACTGTTGTTTGGGTAGAGTCTGTTTGTACACCAGCATGCCTGTGGAGGGTTATACCTGCCTCTCAGACTCTATCTTGTATATACCTTGTTGTGTGTGTGTGAGTGGGGCTTTGCCCTAAACAAGTCCTATTCTGCTAGTCAAGAGCCGTAGTGGCAGCTATTGCAGTAAATATTAGTTTCAACCTTCAGCTAAAGAGTTTGAAAATATATTTTCAGCTGTGCGTTGAATGCGCACAAAAGAGCGAATATTATGAGACACAAACAAAATCTGTTTTGCTGAAATGGAAATTCAACCACAATAACCCTTTCTTCCGCGGTTCACCCTTTTCCTGCTCTGTGTGTGTGTGTGTGTGTGTGTCATTGTAGGACAGCTGTCAATAATCAGAGTGGAGTCCGCACCCCAGCCGCAGGTATTATCACTGGTAAGTCTCCTCCTTTATCTCTCTCTGTTGTGTGGTACATACTAATGTATGGACAGAATACTGTGTGACTAGTGCCACTCCTGCCATACTTAGTATAACTTGTGATACGATACACAGTTGACTGTTGTAGTAGGTAGGTATAGAGGCTGGTGGGAATTAGACGCAGTGCTCTGCAGGATATAATGGCCAAGGGTGTGTACATATTTGTGGTGTGTGAGAGTTGAGTGTTCTGGGTGGCATTCCTGAGGTGTGGTGTTCTCACTGATTAGTTCACAGACAATCATCTTTGTGAATGAGCATACACCCAGAACCAGTGGTTTAATGCAAATTAATCGTTAGCCGTGGGCCTTGGTGGGCTTGCCACACATAGATTGCTGAAGTCCAGGTCACAACCAACAAAGTATAGCTACATAGACTTGACTGTAGACCGAGAGATGTATTGTTGCCATCTAGTAAAGATGACTGGTTGATATCGGCATCAAATTTTTATCTTCTCAACCTGAGCGACAAAACACGTTGAATACTGCCTTGATATGCTGAACTCATGGCAAAGTACTGTGTATATAAGATGGGAACAGCAGTTAAAACGTGGCACATTAGCTATAATAAGCATCGAAAAGCATTAAAGCAGTGCTATTGCTATGGGTCCTCATAGTAAATTTGAGTGTCTTGTGTCTGGACCAGAGCTACTCACACTCCCTGCTGCTCCTAGAGCAGGTCAACAAACACAGCTCCAGACACTTCCCTAATGCAATATGTCTGTCTGTCCCATGGCTGATAGTAGTATTAGTCAGTGTCTAGTGTTTACTGGTGCTCCGATAGCAGGACTGTCTGTGCACTCTACTGTCCTAGACCTGCAATGTACACACTGCATCTGCATTGCGGCCTATTTATCACTACTGCTCAATGCGAGTTGTAGCTTTGCTTTCACGTTTTTTGACACAATTCTAGAACGAGGGCAACACATTTTAGGCATAGCACTTCCTCTTTTAGGGGGTAGGGGTGAGACACTCCATATTTCCGGCAAAAGGCCGCATAGCGGCGCTGGGCCGAGGCGTATGATGTGCGGGTGGAAGCTGCAAGGCTGCTATCCAAGAGGCACTCAACAGCCATTTTAGGCAACTAGATGCGAGAATCACGCGTGGCATAATATTATTGCAATTCGATTTCGCCTATTTATTAAAGAGAACGTAAAAAATATATATGTGTGACAGTACTGTCATCGTCGGATGTATAAACTGGCAATTTATACATTAGTAGGCTGTTTGTACTGTGTATCCTCTAAGAAGTACATATGTATCACTAAGTACAGCAGTACTTAGTATATAGGGATGACACAGGTTGTCCTGCATTATGCGAATAATGTTTTTAATTTACTTGTGTACATAGCATTTATCTTTCCCTTTCTCTGACAAGTATGAGCTGATCATTCCCCAGGTGCCTTATTCCAGGTGATGTGTAACATGTAGAGAGAGAACTTTTCAGGGGAGAAAATGCCTTCAAAATGTTTTCAAACTAGGGTTTCTCTGTGACACAGTTTGTGGGGGAGATTGGTGGGGAGAGATTTGGTGGGAGGGCCCACAGAATTCCAATTAAAGAGGGGTTTCCCCCAAAATTTCCCCCTAGTGAAGTTTTTTTCAGGAACATAGTAGTAATATATTATTAGTGGCATGAAAGTTGTGGTTAATGAAAATAACCACCTGCACTGTAGGCAATGATAGCAGATATTGTCGGTGTATATCTGTTGAGATTATTAGTGAGGCAACTTGCTTTTGTGTATAATTATAGTGACAGTTAACTTTATTAAACTGAGGCACATTTAGAGTTGAGGGTTGCTGCAGCCATCCGTCCATCCATCACACAATTTCCCCCATCTCCCCTGCCATCATCAATATGTGTGTGTGTGTTGTCTGTCTGTACGTAGGTTCAGTGGTGCTACTGGCCATAGCTGTCCTCAGCCAGTTCTTCCACTACATCCCCAAGACCTCTCTGTCTGCCATCATTATTGCCGCTGTACTGCCCATGGTGGACGTCAGAATCCTCTACAGAATATTCAAGATCAGAGGTGACCACAGCTCCTGTGTGTACACATGTGTTGATAATAAAGGTCTAGAGGCAAAAGCCCAGCAAACACAACACTAACACCCAAGACAAATCGGTTTTTAGCTGCAAACCCACACGACACTCTGCATTGTAGGCAGAGCGCTATACCAACTTGGCTGCTATATTTTTGGCCTGTGAAGGACTCTACATGTCCTCATTGTATAGTGTGTTGCAATCACTTTGCGACCTTGTTGTCAAATAGCCTGTGATGTTATCCACTGATCTTATCTGGGCTCTATGTCAACCCTGGTTGAGTTACAAGGGGAACCTCTACTCTAGAGGTGATTAGGACAATAAAGTTTATCTAGGAGAGAGGACAGTTAATTGACAGGGTTTCCCCCTCATTTCAGAGGTCCAGATTAGATGTATAGGAAGTCTAGCAGTGTTTGGGAACTGTCTGATACACAGCTCAAAGGAATGTCACTAGCAAAGGTCGAGCAAATGTTAGCAACAAACTGCATGAATGTTTAGGATACTAACATGTGACATGCCCATTGTCAAGTGGTACAGACAACATTGGATACAGTATTACTCAATTGTGACAACTAGGAAACTCCACCCAAAAGGCCATTACAAGATTCCCCCAGTTTTTCGGCTCCAAGCTGGAACAGTCTATCTGATGAGGCAACTAGACAATGTTGCCGTCTTTCCACTATTGGCGAGGAGATCGTTTAGCTAGTCAGCAGGGCACCTACCTGTTATTGCACTTGATGTTCACACACACCCACACACCACATACACCCACTGTCAATTGGTGTGGCAGACAGCATTGGGGATGCAGGAGAAAATCGTTCCCTCTTTGTGTCAATCTTTGAGTTTACTTCACGAAAGTCGCGAAAGAACTGAAACAGTAAAGACAGGGAACAGTGCTGGGGGTCGCATCAATAGGAAACAGTTAATGAGTGCAAAAATGACACAATTATGAGGACTAGGTGGGCTCGCTTCCATCGCCAATCAACTGACTTGCTATTCCTCCTCTGAGGGACGTACTAGTATTCATGATGCATGTGTACAAGGAAGTTCCTTTAGAGATGAAGTTTTGACTTGTGTCGTGCAGTTGCTGTATTATCCATTGTCTTCTCCACAGCTCTTGATGACCTACCACTCATTGTGGCCTTCCTGTTCACACTCATCCTGGGCATTGAGGTAACGTCTACAAAGGCTTTTGATGTGTGTTGTATGTACAGGCATGTATGATTTTGATGGGTGGATGTTTTACATTTTTTAAATTTGGTTTATTATTAACCCTTGGCGTGCATGTGCAGCGAGGGGGTACAGTACTTGGTTCGTGTGTGTCTGTTTTAAATTTGGCGAATTTCGTAAAAGTATATACTGGCACTGCACTGCGTCCATAGACGTGTGTCTGGAGAGATGGAGGGCTGGCATTTTTTTACCTTAGGATTTTTTTCACCTAAAAAAACCATCGATAAATTTAATTGCATTAGCAGTATTGTGTTTTGCATATGTAAGAAGCAATCTTTTGCATTACCATTTTTGGTACCCAGGTTGCCCTATATCCATTCGAGTTTGTGCGTAATGTTGACTATAGTGATGAAGATTATCCACTTTCAAGTGCTTCCATTAAACCCTCTTCACACATACCCAGCGAAGGTTAATGTACTAGACTAGCAAGAGAGTTAATTGACAACACATAGCCAAGCCAATCGTTTGGCAATACCGCACATAATGTGTATATATAGGTTCGACATTTCTAGTGCACCGAGGGTTTGCATTTCAGTGCTTTTCTACTAGTAAAGTAAATGTGTGAGGGGTTGTTGCATGCATGCATGACTTCTCCATCTATTGGACCAGTCTGTTCAGATTTATGGCATATGACTACACCAATGACAGATATACACATTGTATGGTGGATAGTATGCACACTGAAAATGACGGAGGCATGCTTGTTATGAAGTGATCAATAGAATTTATGTAACTGAAGCCTTTACATTCAGATGAGGGGGGATTTGAAGACATAGAAATGCAGTGGAGTATGTTTACAGTAGAGGCTGGGGACTGGACAATACCTATATACCCATGTCAAAGCTAGTATGTTTGTATATACCCCAAGGCAATTATTATCAGCAGTGTATGTTGTAAGCTTCCCTGTTACTCTGTATTTCCCCCATGGTACATAGGAGTGAGAGTATACTGTGCCATAGCACAGTGGTTTGAGGTTTGCCTTGTGTTGTGTTGTAGATTCGAACCCCTACCAGATGAGTTGCCCTGGTAGCTCAGTTGGTAGAGCGCTCGCCTAGACTGCAGAGTGTCGTGGGTTCGAATCCCACCTAGGGGTGCTCTTTCTTGCTGTCCTGGGTGTAGTTGACTTGTTTGCCTTGCCTTGCCTTTCTACCTCGTTACCAAGTTGTTGAGACGTGCATTAATACCTGATCTTACTCCAGTCTCTGAAGATCCTGTGGTCACCTGTGGAATTGCTCCAATAATAGTCTTGTAATAGTGTATCTGATAAATGAGACACCCAACACATTTCACAGCTCAGTGCTTCTAGTTAAGCAGTTGTGCCTCATTACCCCTGCACCTATGCACAAGGGTTATGCAATCATGTGTAAGTCTCTCGTTGTCTTTGTCGACACGAAATTCACTAGACGATTTAGGCATCTGAATGAGTTCTAAAACTAAATTAAATTGCAAAACTGGCTTGGTTGTGCTAGAAATCAACGAAACTGTCCGTGGTGGCAAGGTTGGGCTAGTGCTGAAACGCACGTGTTCAGCTGTTGTTCCTCTCCTCACACATCCCAGTATGGTGTTCCGATGGCTGTGGTGGTATATGTGGCCATTCTGCTCTACAGAAAGGCCAGGCCAAGACATGAGGTATATATAGTACATACACTGCATCCTTGTATGTTGGTGTGTCCATATGGCATAAAATGTGTCACTATGCATGTATGTAGTTAACTTGTTTGCCTTGCCTAGCCTTTCTACCTTGTTACCAAGTTGTTGAGACATGCACGACTTCATTGATAAGTTGTCATTGGGTATGTCCATTGTGCCAATGGAAACAATTTTGTCAGTGGCTTCATCTGAGATACTAGGTATAATAGCACACCTTTGATAGTACAGTAATAGTATGCTGGATTTTTCTCTGCATAGAAATATGTTGATGACAATGTGTTATGTGATGGTTGTGCTTGTTTGAATCAGAATGGAAGCTGTACAATGGCAATGTTGTGCGGTATTTGGTCATAATTATATGTAAACCCCACCCATTTACGAATACTAATGACATCTGCTATATAAGTCCTCTCATCCAGATCCCTACCTTGTGGCATGCACATAAAATTGGAAACGCACAAGAGACTCTGGCTTAATGGACTAGCTGTGGACAGGCACACACTCCCTTTCTCTACCTCCCTTTCATCCTCCCCCCTCATCTTCCTTTTCCTCCCCCTCCCTCCCCCCTCCATCTTCCTTTTCTCCCTCCCCCCTCCATCTTCCTTTTCTTTCTCCTCCTCTCCCTCCCCCCTTCATCTCCCTCCCTCCTCCTCTCCCTCCCCCCTCTTCTCCCTCATCCTCTCCCTCCCCATCTCCCAGCTGAAGTTATACCCTGGAGTAATATGTGTGGTGTTCAACGGAGGTTGGAATTACCCCGGAGTGGAGTACATCTGGAGGAGAATCACCTCGGAGATCGCTACTGCCCCCAATCCACCTTATTCCAGTATGTCACCACTACATATGTAGTTGTATAACATGTCTGACTATGTGTCTAGCTGGGTATCCCTGCATGGAGAAAGACATTTTCAAACGTGTTAAGGGGCAACTGTTGTGCAATCACGTCAAATGAAGATAGAAAAGTGGAGGGAGGGAAAAGAATGAAGGAAGGAAAAACCTTCCTCTGGTATCTTTATTGGGCCCTGCCAAGGACCTAGACTCTGTTGGTAATGTATTTGGTCGTATTTTATAGAACTTCCGAAAGTGGTCTTTTTTTTCTTATTTTGGGACACTATATGAAACAATGGCAAATTGGATACTCAATGGCATTGGGTTTCAGGAATTATAAGTGTGTGTCTCTTGCAGTGAGGAAGACATCACTGGTCATACTGGATTGTTCTGCAATGCCTGAAATGGACTTCACAATAGTACAGGTAGGCCCAGAACACGTGGTGATGTTCATTACATTTAGATCCTGAAAATCTTGCGGTGAGAAACCACAGACTGCTTAGCTACTGACACAGCTCAACTTTATACAATCACGGTCCACACATCATGATAATATTACAATTGTTAGAGGTTTAATTGCGTTGAATGAGACGTCTAGCTCATGTTTTAGCTAATCTTGATAGTCGATTGCCCACTACATCAGCAATTAAGCCAGTTGTGTGTGTGTGTGTGTGTGTGTGTCTGTCTGCAGGCGCTGAAAGACGAGTGCTCAGATCTGCAAAAGAAGAATATCCAATGTGTACTAGTCAACTGCCAGGTATATACATTACACACATCATACAGTTGTATGCATAATGCATGCATGTATGTTTTACCACTCTTATCCCAATGTGGTTTGGTCAACTGCCAGGATATTTAACCCTCGGCGCGCATGCGCAGCGAGGGTTACAGTACTTGTTATACAGTTATGTGTATGCATGTAGTATGTTGTATATACTGTAGCTATTGTTTTGCTGAGCCTGTATAAAATGAGGTGTGAGTGATACAGGAGCGGGCATCCTTATGTGATTTCTGCACATGTGCATTAGCTGTGGATAATACCATACAGTACATTGTATAATGTTAAAGACAATAGGTATCCACACTGGGCTTGCTCATGCAATGGTGGCTCTGCCTCTCTCTCTGGTGATGTACACAATGCACTGCTGTCACGCATGACCGAGTGCTGTGCAGGCTGGAGTTTCTGCTCTGGAATGTTGCTTTCTCGTCAATAGATTTTACTACGGTCCTCTCAACCACCCTTGACTTACTGTACATATCACCATCCTTCCTTCTGTCTGCTGAATCTTTTGTTGTATGCACCTGCGAATTATCTTCAGTCTGTACTGTACTGTACTGTACTGTACTGTACTGTACTGTGCGTACTTATTTTCTTCACTCAGTGGATATTAGGCATGACGGTTTCAGTACCTGTTTTAGTGTGTTGCAGGGCGGCTAAAGATCGATACTAACGTCATCAGTGCTGCATATCATGTGGCCATTCTCGTCGCTCTATTATACTGCGGGCTTTTCACCCATCACACTCTTTCATTCTGTGTCACTGTGAACTGAGTCTGGAGGCTGCCTTTGGCCTGTGCGTTGTTTGTCAGTTTAGACAATATTATCTCTAAAGAGCATGTGCTAAAAGGAAAACAGGCCTGTTTGTTTGTTTAAGCCCTGCCTGCTGAGCTGCCCTAGTACATGTGTATACACCTCAGCAAGTAGAGGGCTCTGCTACAATCAGATTGTGTTTGGATAAGTGGAGTTCCAGCTCTATCTTCGTTCTTGTTGCCTTGGGTATCCTTTTTTGCCCTTTCTTTGTTTGGTGTCGTGATGGCTTTATGTACACCAATATAGATGTGTACTACAAATAAACATGCATTGATTATCGCAAACTATGTACTATGTGAAGCGGAGCTAAGGAAGGCTACTTTTCTGTAAACATGTACATTTGAGACTGATGTACAGTGTGAAATGGTGAGCTGTGGTCAAGCCACCCCATTCCTGAAGCTGTTTCAGAATGCGACCACTAGACCACCTAGACATTGGAGTATAGTATTCAGGTCTCCATACTAAGTATAATTATACTAAGTATACAATGTGTGTGTATGTGTGTGATAGACGCTGAGACTAAGTATGCAAGGTGTGTCAGCTCTTACGTTTATGTCCCAAGAACTCCATGAGCACATTCAAATAGGTTTATGAGCACGTACCTATAACACGAATAGAATGAGCGGAAGAATATAAGATATTTTGCTTATACAGAAAGAGCTGTCCTGGGTGTAGTTGACTTGTTTGCCTTGCCTTTCTACCTCGTTACCAAGTTGTTGAGACATGTACGTATGTAGAGAAAAACATTTACTGGGTATGGCAGTTGTGACTCAGGGCTCAGAGCGCACAGCACACTGAGTTTGACTCACAACAAAGTCGTCCCTAAACTCACTTGTACCACGTGTAAGCCAAATATTCTTCCACTTACCCTCAAACAAGGACTTACCATCGGGTGACTTTTTCGTGGAAGCAGGGGATGCTGGGTTCATATTATATAGCCTATTGTCGAACTTTGATGTTTTTTTTAAAATTTTCACTCTGCCCTTCCCGTATGAAACTGTCTTTCCTCTCTTCAAAGTCTTCGGTCTTTGTTGTGTAATCATCTTGAAAATTTAATATGGGGGCAAGGGAGTCTTTAGCAAACCAGTTAATGTGGGTAACAGCTGACTAAATATGTGAGGGTGCTCAACTTAAAACGCTTTGGACGCCATGGGGGATCTATTTAAATAAGCAGAAATTGATGTACGAAGTATTAGCGCCTAGTATTATAACCCCCATATAAATTCTTATGGACTTATGGAGGCTCTGGACACATTTATGTGTCCGCCCGAGGCTGGTTAAGTGTTAATTCTGTTGCATTAAGTGCACATATAGAAGTTCCATACTTTGAGTGTTCCTTTAATGCTGTTTTGATAGCCCATCAATAATAGATACTTCAGCAGAGGTGTAATGAGAGCCTCAAGCGAGTAATTCAAACCTACAACAACCCGTGCTTGAGCTCTAATGCGCTCATTAAACCTACCAAAACGCCTAGTGCTACACGTTGAATCCGCATTAGTAGTATGATACAGGGACATAGCCTAGTGCAGTTACGTACATGTCAGCCTGGTAAGGTAGACATTATTTGTGGGTGAAAGTGTCGTCACATATGAGAGCAGAACAAACTGAACCATTTCACCTGCAAAATGGGTCTGTAGGACATTTTCTGTGAGAATCACTCGAATCTAACGTGGTCTACATTCAGTGTCTATTTCTGAACTTAGCAAAACAGCCGGGACACGTTTTTTCAGGGGTAAGTATTCCGAGGAGCCACCCCTCCTGAGGTAAACAGTTTGTTCTTGTGGATCTTTTTGTTGCATGTACCTATCAATTGTCTTTTTCATACACATGTATGTGTCAACAATGAGATATCGAGGTAGAAAGGCAAGGCAAGGTATGTATGTATGTAGGCTCTTCACTCAGTGGCTATATCAGGCATGTGTGCTGGGAGGGTTACAGTACTTGTCTAGTGTGTTTGTGTCTCTGTTGTGCTGATTACGAACCTCGACATCGTGTCATTTGTGAGACAAATGTCTGAGCACTGCGTCGAGGATTTGTACTTTAGTTAGTGATTTTTGTTGATTGTTGACATGTGTGGTATAATTCGTACGTACCTACCTCATTTGGACATAGGCTTCGTCATTAATTAAAGCCATTACAGTACGTTACAGAAACAGGGTTACCTGCGCGTGTTGTGTGTACTGTGGTCCACATTGGATTAGTGTGTGTGGTGTGCTGGTGGTCGCACTGTGTGCACTCTCCGTTACCAGCTCCGTGTCACTGAGTGATTGCTCAAAGGCCGCTGCCCTGGCTATGGTCACTACACCGGCCCTCCGGGTTTCATCCCATGTCCATGTGGAGCCTCTGTGCCTCACTTAAACCACGGAGGTGGTGTGTATGGTGTTGTAGACAAACAGGAAGAGAGACAAATTCCTCGCTACTTAGCCACACTTGTTTGTTTGTCCTTTCACTTTGCGTAGTTAGCTTAGAGCAGTGTTGGTGTATGCGCTCTGAGAATGTTTTTGTTTGTACATGGAAACATGTATCCGCCCTGTCATTTTCTGTGTTGAGGGAACAGAACTGCATGTAGAAGGTGGTGAGGGAATGGACAGCCACTGAACTGGCCTTCCACCCACATATACTGTTGAGGGAACAGAACTGCATGTAGAAGGTGGTGAGGGAATGGACAGCCACTGAACTGGCCTTCCACCCACATATACTGTTGAGGGAACAGAACTGCATGTAGAAGGTGGTGAGGGAATGGACAGCCACTGAACTGGCCTTCCACCCACATATACTGTTGAGGGAACAGAACTGCATGTAGAAGGTGGTGAGGGAATGGACAGCCACTGAACTGGCCTTCCACCCACATATAATGGGTGTTGGTTCTGCAGGAATGCTACGGTATTGATAGCGTGCAATGCACGAATGTATGGCGTACGTATGTAGTACTCATACATGCGGAGGTGGCTTCACTTTCTATGACGAGGAAGGTCAGTGTAAAGGGACGGACTGTCATTACGTATGTATGGGGCGAGATGGAGTGAATGGAGCATATTGTGATAGTGATTAGGAAGCGAGGGTTAGGATGATGACATCGTACATAAGTACATGAAATTATAGTTCATAGCATACATACCATACTGAGACCATACTGAGACCATATCAGCTCACCACCAAAGCACACTTCTGTAGAAATGGCTGTCTACATGCATATGTATATACATTTGTGTGTATACAGTATGTTGCAGTGCCCTGTAAGGGCGAATGCTGTCCTGTCTGAGTACTGCAACAGATTTGTTGGATATCCCTAGGCAAATGACATGTATGAACCCTGCTTGCACATGTAGGATTGTATAGGCTGATAAAATCCCCCAGTACCTAGCTTCATACATGTCGGTTGCCTAGGGATATCCAACAAGTATTGGTACAGAGGTGCTTCAGTCTCAGTGAGGGTGTCAGAGTGTGACAAGAAGGATACTTGTAGGTGTATACTGTGTGTTATTGTATGGGAGAGTAAGATTGGATGTGGATATTATAGAGTAGAGGGAGGGTGATGTGTGCATTTTAATGAGGAGGTGGAATGTTGATCTAAGACTTTGCCTATCAGCTGGGGCCACAGAAGTGTTTGTTTCTGGTGGCTTGTCAGTGTCTGGTTCACCCCTTGTGGAATGCGGAATGTTATCAGCGGAGGAGGCAAAGCAAATTGACGTGCCTTTGGCTGTGACCTCTATCAAAGGGAACAATGAGCTCTCCCCAAGGTCCACTTATCTCCACCTGGACCCAGACAACACCTAGCTACCAACCAACATATTATTATAGCTGTGATGTAGTGAAACATAGCGCAGTACAGTGTTATAGTGAGGGAATAGGAGGTGAGGGAATAGGAGGTGAGGGAATAGGAGGTGGGGGAATAGGAGGTGAGGGAGTGAACGGAGATAAGATTCTGGAGCGTTTGTTGTTCTGTTCAGCATGGTCTTATGAGGTTCAGCAGCATCAGGGTTTTGGCCAGGGAGCAATTAAATGAGGGGGAGTCGACTAACCACTTGCCACACATTCACTTCCTAAAGACTATACTATGCATCTATTACACACATTTGCCTAAGTATATATATATACATTTCTGTAAAGCAGGGAGAAAGGAGGGGGGAATTTAAAAAAGGAGGGTAAACCCCCCTGCTTCCCTGC